GGCGGAGATGGGCGGAGCGGGGGGCGGAGGTTGGCAGAGCGGGTGGCGGAGGTTGGCGGAGCCCGCCCGCCCGTTCTCTCTCTCTCTCTCACACACACACACACACACACACACACACGCACGCGCACACACACACACACACACACGCACACACACACACACACCTCTCTCTCTCTCTCTTTCTCTTTCTCTTTCTCTCACACACACACACACATAGAGGGGATAGGAGTAAGGGAATACGAATCAACTAACCTGAGTCGGCCATCACAGTCGAGTCCAGTCCACCTCGAAAAAGCAGCACCGACAGCACCTTCAAAGACAGCACCTTTCCCAACACAGACCCGGACACACACACACACACACACACACACACACACACACAGAGGGCGTCGTCAATAGCGAGGGCGTAGAGCGAGCGCATGCCGTTAGGTCGTAGGCCCGTTTGTCGGTAGCGTAGCGAGCGTCGTAGGCCCGTTTGTCGGTAGCGTAGGCCTTCGACGAACAGGGTAGGGTCGAAAGAACCATTGCCACAGTAGGGCTTTCCCGCCCTCCACTCGCCTGCAACGGGCGGCGACGGCCTGGGCCTACCGGCTGGTCCTACAGATCGCGCGTCGATCCGGGCTCTTCGGCAGGCCCGACGGTCCGGATGTTCGCGTGATCTTAAGATCGCGCGTCGATCCAGGCCGTTCGGCAGGCCCGACGGTCCGGATGTTCGCGCGATCTTAAAGTCTTAAGATCGAGCAAACATCCGGACCGTCGGCCCGAACGGCCCGGATGTCATATTTCTTCCTTTAGCGATTTTTAAATATTGTAGGGAAATGGTCCTGATACATTCGAAATGTTGGTGTTTGGCAAGTGGCTCCACCGCTCTCCAAAAGGCATTCTGAATGTACAAGGAATGTTGGGATTTGCCAAGTGGTGCAGTGAGGCCCTTAGGACCTTGGCCCCCCTGCGGCTTAGCTTTTTGTCCCTGTCCAGCCTAACAAAGCATGTCGCAAATTTTAGACGAATTGCAACCGACTTCGGACAGTATTGCCTATTAAAAAACACACCGCCTTCCCTCCGACATACCTTTTCATCCGAATACATTCAAACAAAACACACATGCAATGACTTGCTGATTTCTGCTGCCGAGACTGACTGCGAGGCTGTACACTAACCGTAGGGTTAGATTTGTAATTTTGTTTGGCTGAGGGCTAACCGAGAGGTCCGCCTGTGTGGAAATTCGTGTAACCGAATTCCTATAGCTACCCTAACTGCCTATAGCAGGCCCGGGCTACCCCTAGGACAGTCAGGCCCTAAGCGGCCTATACTGGTATACGGTCCTATAGCCTATAGCCGGGTTCGATAGAGGCCGAGAGGCCGACACAGCAACGGTACCGGTAGGTCCTGTCAGTCCGGTTTAGGTCTAGGCTAGAGCAGAGGGTCTATAAGTCCTGGAGGAAAATCGGTTCAGGACTTTTGGCAATTCATTTTCGCGTGACTGCGTTCGTGGCCAACTAAGTGTTGCAGCGCTGAATGCCTACAGCGGCACCTGAGACATCAGCGCAGTGGAGCAGCCATAGCCAGCCTTCTGAGACAGCCATAGCTGGGGCTGTACTCAGCGCATCTATCCCCTGGGGATATCTGCGTTGGCAGGACTATATCGGAGGTCTTCACTGAGTACATGTGGGTACTAGTGCTGCGGTAGCAGCCAGGCATCCATAGCTGCCTTCTTCATCGTCAGAGTGACTCATCGGCACTGGAGACTACTTCGCTGTTCATGATCTGCATCGCGCGGGCCTCTGGGAGCGCTAGACTCTGAGAGTGTAGTAGTGAGTGGAGTGTGTGGTGCTTGAGTGGCGAGATACTGGGTGAAACTCTGTAACGACAATTGAGGTTAACTGTGTTGAGTTGGCTCATCATCTGGATTACTTTCTAATTGTGATCTTCGCAGTGTCTTCCTGTGATTGGTTGTTGGGAGTTTATCAGAGAGAGAGAACACTGTGTGTATTCTCCCCATCTGTGCATGGTTGCTATTCCGCTGTTTATCTCTGGTCTGTGTGCAGGTGGACTCTGTCTCTTCCTCCCCTTTCTCTCCTGCACGTATGGGCGTGTGTGAGTGTGTCTGAGTGTGAGTGGCAATCGAATTGTCAAACAACCAAGTTCATAACACACATCATTAAACTTCAGCGGATTTCAACTGGCGGTCCTTTCCTCCAGCCGTTCCCTCGGCCGGTACTGCCTCCATTCATTTTTTTCCTGGGCCCTGTGGGGGTGTTACGCGAGGACCACTTTTGCCTTTAGAAGGATTAGGGAAAACAAATTGCTGAGATATGGATACTTTTTCTGAAGTAGTACTTCTTTTTTTCTTGTATCCATGTCACCATGTGATTAACCAAAGCACACTGATTTGACCGTACAACGAGACTAGATTATTTTGGGATTCTAAACAGGATACATTTTGAAGCAGTTGTTTTGGCCGCCACTTCGCGTCCAGCAATTCAGAGATGTACAAATTGCTGCACTTTCTGCCTGGAGGGCCTTATTCTGTGTGGTTTAGGGTTTGCATTGCACTGTCAGAAAGTTTATTTATTGCTTAGAGGTGTGGGATCAGAAGGACTGAATTGATTGCTAAGATAGCAAAAAAGCTCACCTTTTAAGATGATTCCACTTTCCTTGGATATCGCCTCCATGACACATCCATCCTCTCGGTGTGCATCGATGTCAATCACTTTGCAGACCAGCTCAAGGTCTTCCAAGGGCCATCCGTTGGCTCTTGCAGCAGCCTGTTTCATGGCACCAATGAACGCGGCGGGCCGTAGCAGACCACCAAGCCACCACTTTCTCCGTCGCCACCGTGCTTCTATGCAGTTCCATTCGCGGACACCTTGCAGGCTCCCCTTGATGCTGCCGGGTTTTGATAACTCTGTTGCAATTTCGCATAGCTGTTCCATACGGTGATCTACGTCAGCTAGCCAAGCACTCACACCAACCAATGGGCACTCGTATGACCGCCATTTGGACGGCACCTCATTGTGCATCAGCACCATAAGCAGACATTGCGAGGAGTTATCAGCCGGTGCCCGGCTATCGCAAACTGCCGATGCCAGGGCAACATCAGCCTTCACTTGTTCCAGGAGTTCAGTGCCGAGCCGTAACTCACGCACAATGCACCAAGCAAGAGGGTGATGACCCAGTGGGCTGTTCGACAAACAAGCTCCTCCTTCCCAGATCGCCTTGTGCTCCAGCAGCGGCTGCAGTTTCTCCAGCTGAGCATTGTACCCCGACAGATCTTGAGAAAGCGCCACCCTCCCTCGAACGGTGCTGCCAAGCAAGAGCTCTTGACTATCGTTCAGCAGACCTGACACTGGAATATCCTCTTCGTGTGACTCCTCATGTAGGAGCTTCAAGTCAACCAGAAGCTGTTGACCCTTCTTACAAAGCCGGACAAACTCTGCATTCTCCGGAAGTCCCAACCACTCCGGAGGACAACTCTCTGGCAGGGTATCTATCCACTCTACGAATACCTCCATATCAGACTCCTCCGGGAGAGAGAACACCTTTCTGCGACTGCATTCCTGCTCTGCTTCGTCTCCGTTGGCCGATGCAAAATGCAGGTGGGTTGCGTTGTCATCTTCTGCCACATATCCATTCTCATTACTCCCCAGCATCGGCCGATCCATGCTCTCCCCAGGTTCCACTCCACCATTCACACTACACTCACATAATGATGGCAACGACGCAATCACAAAGTCTGTGTCATACAAGTCTGGCACAAAGTACCGATCTATGAATGACAACAGCAAAGTTACGTCCCACTCGTTGTCCACTTGCCCTCCGTAAACCACCTCACCAAGAAGAACACGCAAAGCTTTCCAAGGTATCCTTGACGGGGCAAGATTAGATCTTCCTTGGCTTACTGAGGCAAGCCATCGATCAACAACAGCTATTGCATATTGGAAGTCCTGAAACGAGTAACAGAGAACAAGTTCAAGAGTCAGAGTCATGACACACAAACATCCATCACAACAGCAGCACAAAGCCACTTGCACTGTAACAACCGCACCTTTTCCCTTTTCCCTTGTCAATCCCTGGCCTATGCGTTGGGCCTCACTGTTAATCTGTGTACGTGCCTTGGGTCTGAAGACTCTGCACCCAGTTTACTGCAATCAGGGCATATTTAAACCACCGCTTTTCCCGTGCCTCTTTTCTCCGATGCGCAGCTTTGCCCACCTGCACCTGGACTACCAAACCGTTGTGGGGGCAGGGCCTGGCGGTGGCAGCCATATCATTGCACGTTTGTGCCATATTTTTATGAGGGGCAAAACCTTTTTTTTTTTTTTTTTTTTTTTCCCCACTTATACAGTGGCATGCACCCTATGCCCATGATTTCTTCCAGATTTCTTAATCGAAGCGATTTTCTTTTGCCTGCTCCATGATCTCTTCCAGATTTTTTAATCAAACGAGATGAGAGTGAAAAATCGCCACTGAAGTCGGGAAACTCAATTTTTTTTGCCTGCTCCCTGGGACCACTGACCTCCAATAGGCAAGCCTATCCCCGGCACCCGGTTAACTGGAGGGTGTGGGCAGCCCGGCTGGGCAGAACAGTGGTCGTTTCACAGAAACCTGGCCTCAAGGATGGGGCTGCCACCATCCTAAATAACTGCAGAATAAAAGCAAGCGCGCCGGGCATTTCTTGATGGAATATTATCATTTCACTCGGCCTTTGCCCGACATGTGCGTTACGAAAAGAACATGAACCTGCTGCTCTCCTCGCTTTTCTCCCAGTCTTTTCACAATGCTCTTGTGTTATGAACTTGGTTGTCTGACGAATTTCAATGCCACTCACACACAGACACTCTCATACATGCCCATACATGCCCATACATGCATACGACGAAGGGGAGAGGAGACAGAGTCCAGACTGTACACAGATCGAAATAGGCAGCGGAATACAGCTATGCACAGGTGGGGAGAAGACACACAGTGTTTCTCACTCTCTGAGAGTACTCCCAACAACCAATCACAAGAAGAAACCTGCGAGGATAACAATCGGAATCACACTGATGAAGAGCCATTTAAAACCAGATATTGTTACAGAGTTTGTTCCAGTATCTCGCCACACTCAGAACCCCACACTCCACTCTCTACCCTACACCCAGTTAGTAGCGCACAACCGGAACAGCCT